TCCTGTCCAGGGGTGATGCTGAGAAACTAGTCCATGCATTTGTTACTTCAAGGCTGGACTATTGTAATTCTTTACTATCAGGAAGTCCACCCTTCTGAGATTTTAACGGTTCTTATCAGAGTTTTAATTAAATGTCCAGCTGAGTGATGTGATCATCAGATTGGTGCGATGGTGACGCTCAGACCTAACGAGCTTCACACCGACAGCTTGTTACTCTGACTTCAGATGAGTATTTAACACCAAACACACTGAGAGGATTAATTTAGATTATTGTGGATTTCCGGTCCTCCAGAGGACCACCCAGGGTCCGGCTCAGAGGGATGGTCTTGTTCCTCTGCAGGGGTTCTCGCTTAATTCTCCTGGTTCTAAAAGCTCTGGATGTCAAACCCTGAGGGTCTACACAAGATGGTTCCACAAGGACCAGTCCCTTTTTGTCCACCTTGGGTTCTTCAACTGTCAGCCCGTGGAACCGACCCGGTCCAATGACGATGTCCTCCACACACGGGTCACACTGACGGTGTGTCCCAGAACACAGAGCTCCTGGTTTTTCCTCCCACATAACGATTCATCTGTGCTAAATGACAGGTGGAACCGGAATCAGAACCCATCTGTTCAAGCCCCGCCCATCAGGTATAGCAGTATGTAGGCTGCATCAAAATTTCCCCACTTTCCTTGGCTGGTCCTTGGCTGGTCCTTGGCTGGTCCTTGGCTGGTTCCCTACAATTTCTTTGTAAACATCAATCTTTGTACTAAAATATTGTTTCTATCATGATTTGTGACACTAAGGTCTACAGAGAAGCGCCATCTCCTGGTCAGAACCTGTAATTCAGTGAAAGGGTGGAGTCAGATAAAAAATATGCACGCCCAGGAGGAGGCCAGTGGCTGGAAGGTGGGGGGGATTTTCCTGCCATTAGCCTGGATTTAGACTGGAAGCGCCATTTTGAATGGCTGCTACTGTACATATGTGGGTTTAACAGTAATAATAATACTAATTGAACTTTATTCACATTGGAGAAAGTCCCTCTCTGCATTTAACCCCTCCCCTCGGGGAGCAGTGGGCTGCCATCGTGCAGCGCCCGGAGAGCAGTCTGGGGTTAAGGGTCTTGGTCAGAGAGCCAGAGCAGCAGTCTGCAAGAGTAGGGCTTGAACTCACAACCTCTGGATTCCGAGCTCTATACCCTAACCATCAGGCCGCCAGTCTTACTGAGGACCATCCGTAGACGTTCACTCAGCCTCTGACCTCTGTAAAGCCGAACCACAACCCCAACAACGACGAGGACCACAATGAGGTCAGACTTGGACTCTGATGTGGATCCTTAATCCTGGAACCTTCAGGAGTTCCTATTAGTGTTGCACCGATACCGATACCAGTATCGGACGGGGCCCCGATACTGCCCTAAAATGGTGGTATCGGTATCGGCGAGTACCAACAAATAGGGCACTGATACCATTTTGAGAGCCATAAGTTTATTCAACTATTGTCACTCATTCCTGGTAGGCAATAAAAAGCTCTACTGGATTCACTTTGCATTAGATTTTTTCCTGCTTCACAAAGGTAGGCAGCAGCTTGACATGAAGCCATGATGGTGATTATTTTACATTATTATGGTATCGGTATCGGCCGATACTTCACAGCCAGGTATCGGGTATTGGTATCGGGGCCAAAAAATGGCATCGGCGCAACACTAGTTCCTATGGACTCAAATAAAGGCTCAGACCCATAGAACCTCTGGACCTCAGGTTCCTCCTCATCAGCTTCCATCCGTGAAACCATTAAACGCTTCGGTTACGGCCGGCTGTAGATTCAAAATTCAAGAATTTGATTCAATTCTCAAGGTTTAGAATCATTTTTTTTCAATCTGATTTTAAACTGGGTTTCTGGGATTGAAAACATTTTTTTTTTGCTGCTACCTGAAAGTCTGGTTCTGTAACACACTGATACCAGAACAACAGTAGCGTCCAACAGTGAAGGTAGAAATAAACGCAGCAGCTGGAGGCTATGAGGACTAAAGGAAAATCACACTTTGACATTTGAATTAATTGATATTTAGGAAAATTTATTCAAATTTTGGAAAACTGATTTTTTTTAATACAGTCCTACTTCCTGTAGACCCAGAACCACATCTTCAACCATCAGCAGAAGCATGTTCTGTACGGACAAAGGAAACTGTCTCACTGGTGTTACTGGTTTGAGTCCAGTTGGGTTGATGGGACAGATTAGGGCACATTAACAGTGTGTGTGTGTGTGTGGATTAGAGGTGATTAGGCACAAACAGTAATCTGAATCTGGACCCAGACTAAAATCCTTCAGATTAGGTTTAGTTTAATCTTCATCTCACTGATGATGATGATGATGTCACAGCTTCATATTGGTCACATGACCCGCCTGCTCTCCTCTGACCTGCTGCCCCACTGCAGGTCACACACCTTCACCTGGTTCTCCTATGAATCCAGATCACACCAGCAGCCAATCAGATGCCTGTTTTGGTGGAGTGGGAGGGGCTCTGAGAATCACCCTGGATAGAAACATGTTGATGTTCTGATCCGGTCCCTGTAGGACGGTTCTGTTGGACCCAGACTGGGCGCTGAGGTCAGGGGGGCGATTAAGGCAATACTAGTCAGGTGCTTAGGGCCCCGAGTTCCTGGGGCCCCATAAAACTCTGTTTACATGTATGGTTAATACAACTATTCCTTATTTGTGCAAATTATTTTTATTTTTTGATAAAAATGCCATCAGAACGCTGATAATATTAAGTGTGTCTCAGCCCCCCCCCTTCAGTGTCCACCATATTGGATCAGTCCATTTGCTGCACATGTTCAGAAAGGTCCAAACAGACAGCAGCAAACCATTTGAAAACAAACCATGCAAAGAGCAGTGTTGCCAACTTAGCGCTTTAGTCGCTATATTTAGCCACTTTTCAGACCCCTCTAGCACTTTGATTTCTAAAAAGCTCCTAGCGCCAAATCTAGAGACTTTTTTCTGCTACTGGAGACTTTGGAGACAACATCTAAAAGCAGCGAACTCTGCTCTCCAGAGCGAGTAGATTGGTAACCCCGCCTCCTGCTCTCCTCTATCTTGTCTGCTGTCATGATTCATGCAGCTATTATTTCATCCAAATGAAAAATGGAGAACAGATAAGCAGATCATGGCTTGTCTACAGTGAAAAGAAGGACTGGGTTATTTACTTTGGCCTTTTTGGAAACACAGGAAGGAGCAATCAGCTAAGTGAGCTTAGTGCTTGGAAAAAATCTTTCATTCCTTTAGAGACAGCATGAAAAGTCAGCTGAGTACAAAACATAGAGAGGAAAACAAGAAGAAAAGGGACAAGAAGAGAGGGACACAACCTAGAACAGATAATGGATGTCTATTCTATTAACATTTCTCTATCTGGAGAATGGGGCTGTTCTATGTGTTGTCTTCTCCATTCAGAGCCCCCCGCTGCCTGCCTTTGCCAGGGGCCCCACATTTCCTAAATCCAGCCCTGACTGAGGTCATACCTCATCGTTGGACTCATTTAAAAAGCAGCTGGAAGACATTTTCCAAACATTTGTTAAGTTTCTGCTTTAATGTGAACATTTGATTTACTTATTTAGTTAATTTATCAAGTTAATCAGCAGCTGATTTGGTTCAGTAATGAACTAATGGCTCACTCCATCCTGCAACCTCTAGATTTCTCCCTGATCACCTCAGTTAAACGGCTTCATTACCCCTCAGCATGCAGTCAGGTTCTGCAAAGTTCTACTGATGACCCGATTCTTTGATTCAGAGACACGTCTTAAAGGCGCAGGACTGGTTAGCCGATAATTCCCTGGATACCAAGTCATCAGGAAGCTGGATCAGAACCGAAACATTAGTCCCATAGTTCATAAAAAATACTGAACTACATGAAGGTTTGGGTCCAAAGCTGCTAAAAGTTCTGGTTCTGATGGAGGGTCCAACTCAGTCCTCAGATTATAAACTGGACCTGGTTCTGCTCTGTCGCTGGGTTCCAAAGGATTGGATTGATTTGGTTCTGTTTGACTCTAGATGTGGTTCTGAACAGGACCTGCTTTAAAGTGTTGTGAGAAACTGGCTCTGATCCGCTTCAGTGTGAATAGAACTGGTCTGAAACCGGAAGTTTGTTTCAGAAATTCTGCAGAAACCGAATGGAGCTGCAGCCTGGAAGCTTTGGATCAGAACCACTGGAGTTGCAGACCCATCAGACAGTTTAAGCTGCACCATTATGGACCGGAACCAGAACCGGAATGTCAGGGTCGCAGGGTCACGTGGTCCAAAGTTGTTTTATGAAACATCAGCAGGTGACTTCAGATCAACAGACCCTCAGCTCATCTGACTCCGCGCGCCAGGCGAGTGTATCCATGCACGTGCGCGCGTCCTCTCAATATGTGTGTGTGCGCGTGTCCGTGCATGTGCAGGAATGTGAGTTATTCCGCTGCAGGCTGAACCGAACCGAGTCAGGATCCTCCTGCCGGGACATAACGGACCGACACGCAGAACCCAGAACCGAACCGAACCCCCTCAGTCCAAAGACCAGAACCCGTTTCATTTCTGTTCACTTTTAAACTCGCTGCTCTCAGCTGAATTCAGCAGTCAGTCAATCCAAAGCCAGCAGAACCAGTACCGAACCACTGGACTGGACCGACATTTCTAAGCCGAATCACAGAGCTTGTACTGTGAGGTCGGTCCAGTTCAGAACCGGTCCGGTATTCAGAACTTTAACGGAGAAAAACAGAGAAACGATAAAACTCTCCGATTCCTGAAGGGAGTCTGGCGCGCTCCCGTCAGACACGCCTGGCTCGCGCGCTCCTACATGCAGCGCGAGACAACTTGGAACCAACAGAACCGAGTCCAACTCACCTGGACGAAGAGGTCTGGTTCTGGGTCCTTCAGGGTCCAAATATCCAGAGAGAAGTTCGGTGGATCCAGAGAACCAGCAGAGTCCAGGAGGGACAACAGGTCTGACTGAGACCCCGCCCCACGCAGCCGGCCGGGCCACCCGAACACGCTCCTCCTCACCCAACAGCAGGTACCGAGCGGCCCGTGGGCTCCGGAACCCGGACTCTGAGGGAGGGTCTAGTTCTGGACCCCTTAAGGTTCGGATTTTCTGACAAATTCAACTCTGGTCTGATAGAACCGGGACAGAACCAGGTCCATTCAGCCAAACCTTCAACCTTCCCTTTAGAACCTCATCATTCCACAGAGGGTCTGCAGGCAGGTGAGAACACACCTGGGCTTACGTCATCAGAAGTTAGGGAACCTGCAGGAACATGTTAACCCAGACGGAGAGGCTCCATGAAGAAGCTCCATCCAGCCAAACTTTTGGGTTCCACCAGAACCTCCAGTTCATCTGAACGGCTGGACCGAGTTCTTCCAGGTTCTAAGAGGCTCAGCTGGTTACCAGAGCTGATGAACTTTGACCTTTTGGACCCACTGCTCACATGAACCGGCTCCAACCTTCGTTCTGATGGTTCTGTCAGAACTCGTTTCTTTGGGCCCCGGAACCTGAAGGAACTGAGCAAACCGCTGAAGGTCTAAAGTTCCCAGAGCCTAGAACTCGGTTCCTCCACCTCACAGCTGATTGGTCCGATGGTTGTCAGTAAAAGTGGGAGGAGCCAGATCATTTCACAGAAAGAAAATCTTAAGATTTTTAAATATCTTCATCCTCAGCACAACCAGGGAGCTAACAGTACGACGGAGTATTAGGGCCAGGCTAGAGATTATTTTTCTTCTATTTCGAGAATAAATTCGTAACATTAAGATAATAAAGTTGTAAATTACGAGAATAAAGTCATCTCTTCCCAGAAGCCCTTTCTTCCCTAAAATAGCGCCAACAGTTCACCAAATCATCCAGTCAGATTGATTCAAAGTTTTCTATCTAAGGAAAACCAGCTGATTGCATCGACTCATTGACTCTTCAGCAATCCCTCACACTAAGCATGCTTGTAGCGACAGTGGGGAGGAAAAACTCCCTTTGAACAGGAAGAAACCTCCAGCAGAACCAGGCTCAGTGTGAGGGATTGCTGAAGAGTCAATGAGTCGATGCCTGGTTGATTCTGGATCCTACAGAACTGTAGTATAAACTTTTTCCGTGACCCGAATGGATCCTGACCTCCAGGTACTGGATCTTTTTTTAGAAGACGGAACCAGAGAGAACATTGTTCCTTTTCCTGCCTACTGGAAATAAAGCTTCTGTTCTGGTGGAGAACGTTTGACCCTTACTTCAGTAAATAGTGAACATCTGGAGAATTGTTCAAAGATCCAACTCCATCCAAGGTTCTGTCCGGGTTCTTTAACCATTCTAAATGTCTTCAAGCATAATCTGGAGTTTTAAAAGATGACAGAACTTTAAATGGACCGAATCTCCTTTGGTCCGTCTGTTCTGACCACCGGTCTCAGGAACAATGCCGCAGAGGCAGAGGGGATTGACCATTAGGCAATAATAGGGCCCCAAGTTCCTGGGGGCCTCATATGTATGGTTAATACAACTATTCCTTATTAGTGCACATTAATTGTTTTTGATAAAAATCCTTTTGCTAAAATGCCATCAGAACGCTGATAATATTAAGTGTGTCTCAGCCCCCCCCCCTTCAGTGTCCACCATATTGGATCAGTCCATTTGCTGCACATGTTCAGAAAGGTCCAAGCAGCGTTAGCAAATTAGCGCTTTAGTCGCTATATTTAGCGACTTTTCTGCGGAAGCCCAGAGCGGTCGAACTCTATTTATTTTTGTCTTCTCGAGATAATGACATAAATATCTCGTTTTCACAGTTAAACCATTTTTTTCTTGAGAATTATCTTGTAATCACGAGTTATTTCTGACTTGAGATGGCGAGATGATTAACCTGTCTGAGTCATGAGTGAGGCTGGATTCCCAGTCCATCCACGCCTTCGGGTTCTGAAGTTGTTCAGTCGCTTTTAGTTGCTTTAAGTTTCCTTTTTTTTTCCACTCATTGCGTAGAAACAGTAGAACCAGATCTGTTTTTTAATGAACATCCTTAATCTGGACTCATTTTGGGGGTTAATGCACCTTCTACCTGTTCCAGGTGTAACACCGGGGCGGGTCAGAAACACCTGGAGGCCCGACCTCGTTTGGACGGTTCTGTTCAAACAGAGAACTTTTATTGTGAAAAAACCAGACAAACATCGTTAGCAGAAAATCTTTTATTTCCTGTAAAATAAGGCCTCTTCATCATCATCATCATCATCACTGATTGCACTGAAACGACAGCAGCTCATTGGTCGCTGATCGGCTCTCTGATTGGTTCACAAAGTTAGGGTCAAAATGGCACATTGCAGCCCGGTCCCGTGACCTGTGATCTGGGTCATGTGACTTGATGGCGGCCGTTAGCAGGTCCGTTTCAGCTGCTAAGACCCGGAACAGGAGGGGAACCCGAGCACACGAGCAGCGCCAGCTGTGACCAGCAGCAGCTTCACTGTCGCAATAACAGGGCTCAGGTGTGTGTGGGGGGCGGAGCCCGCACCTGGTGACCAATCAAAGCAGAAGAACCTTTAAAACTGCTTCAGGTGAGGCTCCGCCCCCTCCGAGTCTCCAGGTGAGCTAAACGGAGCTAAAGCAGCTCAGCCAATGCAGCGGCACCATCATGGATGACATCATCATATCTAATAATCAATAATTTAATCAGTCATTAAAAGCTTTGAAATGTAAAACCACAGGTGAGTGTGCTGATTGAGCTCCACAGGTGACGCCCTGACCAATCACAGCAGGACGGGGAGGGAGACCCGCCCATCAGGGGGAGGAGCCTCAGACAGCAGAAGGACTACGCTAAAAAATTAGGAGTAAAAATCTTAAATTCAGTCACATGATGAACCACCTGACCTGACCTCACTCACGTGGACGCTCGCGTCTCTCACGTGGACGCTCGCGTCCGTCCCTCACACAGCTCTAACATAGAATGGCGTCTGCCGGGTCCTGCGTCTCCGCTGCGTCCTCGCCGTCCTGCTCCGTCTCTCCCAGTAGAACCCGGAGCTCCGACAGTCTCTGCTGCATCTTGGGAACGCCTGACAGCTGATTCTCCAGGCGCTGCTTCTCCTCCTGGAACAGGAGAACAAACGGCTGTTAGAACACCGACCCGCCAGCTGAGGGAGAGCGTGAGCGCCGTGAACTCACCTGCATGGAGGACCGGGCCGAGGCGTCCAGAGGCTCAAACTTCCATCCTCCTTCGCCGTCGAACTGCAGCAGGTGGGAGTGGTACTTCCTGTGGAGCAGGGGAAGGTCAGCGGCGGCCGGAGGATCGCCGGTTCTAAGAACATAAGAACGTTTCTAACCAGAGGGAGGGGCGGTGGGTGATTGACAGCAGAGCTATCCCAGCATCCTTTGCAGCCTGGAAGATCTTCCCCTCCACGTCGATGCTGACGGCGCTCGTACACTCGTCCAGCAGGGCGTACCGCGGGCTGCGTCACAGAGAGACAACCAATCAGCTGAGACGGGACAAAACTCCCACCAATCAGAGCCTTCCTGTTATAAACAGCAGTGGATGATGTCACAGGGAGGCGAGGTCTCGCTGTGACATCATCAGGGCTGGCAGAGCAGGTACCGGTGGTAGAACATGCGGGCCATCCCCATCCTCTGCTTCTCTCCTCCAGACAGAACGTCCTTCCAGTCGCTGAGCGCCTCCCAGCCTGAAACACACAGGTTACTGTAATACTACTATAGTACTATTATAATACTGCTATAGTACTACTGTAGTACAGTTATTATACTTCTACAGTACTGCTGTAGCACTGCTGTAGTACAACTATTATA